TTCGGACTAGGGAGAATGTGAAAGATACTTCGTGTAATGTCGATAGTTTTATGTTTATACGAGAATAGTAGTTGAATAATTATTGACCAAGAAAATAATAGGCATTGTGTAAAGTGATTATCGCCTGTATCGTGGTGATGGGAATGCAGATGGTAGTGGTACGCTTTAAATGGTAGTAGATCACGTGATCAAACACGACACTCTCACAGCAGCCCTAACAGTCATGTATAAATGTGTCATCTAGTCCATATGGTCTTTGTGCTAAATTTCCTTTTTGCACATTTTTCGTTGTGTTTTTTCTGGTTGCGCATTTTTCTGTTTCTGTTTGCGCTTTTTTCCGTTTGCGCTTTTTTCTGTGTGCGCTTTTTTCTGTTTGCGCTTTTTTCCGTTTGCGCTTTTTTCTGTTTGCGCTTTTTTCTGTGTGCGCTTTTTTCTGTTTGCGCTTTTTTCCGTTTGCGCTTTTTTCTGTTTGCGCTTTTTTCCGTTTGCGCTTTTTTCCGTTTGCGCTTTTTTCCGTGTGCGCTTTTTTCTGTTTGCGCTTTTTTCCGTTTGCGCTTTTTTCTCTTTGCGCTTTTTTCCGTTTGCGCTTTTTTCTCTTTGCGCTTTTTTCCGTGTGCGCTTTTTTCTCTTTGCGCTTTTTTCCGTTTGCGCTTTTTTCTGTTTGCGCTTTTTTCTGTGTGCGCTTTTTTCTCTTTGCGCTTTTTTCCGTTTGCGCTTTTTTCTGTTTGCGCTTTTTTCTGTGTGCGCTTTTTTCTCTTTGCGGTTTTTTCCGTGTGCGCTTATTTCCGTTGCGCTTTTTGATTTGCGCTTTTTTCCGTTGCGCTTTTTTCCGTTGCGGTTCTTTCTGGGAACCCTCATAGACATGAGCCTACACATTTATAGAAATTGACAAACACACCCATAGATATGGACCTATAAACTTATAGACATAACTTTACACTTAGACACATGGACCTACACATTTATAGACGTTGACCTACACACCCATAGACATGGACATTCACACTTACATACATGGACCTAAACACTTATAGAAATGACCTAAACACTTATAAATATGACCTACACATTTATAGACATGGACCTAAACACTTATAGAAATGACCTACACATTTATAGACATGGACCTAAACACTTATAGAAATGACCTACACATTTATAGACATGGACCTACACACTATAGACATGGACCTACACTTACAGACATGTACCTACACATTTATAGAAATGACCTACACATTTATAGACATGGGCCTACACACACATAGACATGGACCTACAAACTTAGTCACATGAGCTTACACACTATAGACATGGCCTAACACATTTATAGATCGTTGACATACACACCCACTCACACACATGGACCTACACACTTACATACATGATCCTAAACACTTATATAACATTCACATTTATAGACATGGACCTACACTCTCAGACACACGTACCTACACGCTCCTTGACATATTTGTTTCCAAAGTTTGTTTTCAACCTACACACTTTAGCCTGTCATTGAGCTCACACTCCAAAGATTCTGTTACTGCGTTTATCATAAATTACATTGACCTATTTGAAGTTTTATTTCAACCTACACACGTCCAAACGTCCTTGAGTTAACAATCTATCGATAATCAACCACGTTTTTCTCTGGGCTTAACATAATAAATAAACCGGTTAAAACTGTTTCATCCACCAAGACTCTAAAGAAAAATGCAAAGACCCTTTAAATCACTTAATGTTTACCAAATCCATCTAACTGTAACAAATACAAGAGAAACTGTTAAACGGTCGAAAGGGAAGAAACGCATCACAAGACTTAAGAAAGCTAAGATTCGATTCAAAACGTCAAATACATCGTTTTCTTTGATTTGAATTTTACAAGTGAATTAATGAAAAGGTTGGATCAAAATATCAATATTTGTTTAATAATTTCCTAACGATTTGTAGTACGAACATATATTTATATATATATATATATATATATATATATATATATATATATATATATATATATATATATATATATATATATATATATATTCACATATATTTGTATATATATATATATATATATATATATATATATATATATATATATATATATATATATATATATATATAAATATATATATATACATATATATATATATATATATATATATATATATATCCATTGTATACATGTGTTATATATAGTCACATAGATTTATGTGGATCTTTTTTCGTGATGGTTATATGTTAAAATAAGTATACAATTAATATAGAGGAAAACGAAAACGTTAAAAGAAAATTCTCTGTATTAAACATGATTGTTTTTAAAAGGACTCTTGCGTGTGCTACAATTCATGTTTTACTTTTTTAATCTTGAAAATATATTTAATATAGATTAGCTATTCACAGATCAGAATATGGTTATGACTATTTCCCCGTAAAATGTATTGCAATGAAGTAAATGGAAGGGTTTTACATTGAAGCTAATTTGGATGTGAATGTATCACGAAGTAAACATAGACCTCCGACATCAGATCCTCGGATGAGTTACCTGAAAACAGAAAATCGATCCGAATATTTCATCAAAGTCAGTTGTCAACTGAAACGGTCACAGTGGGGTGAGGTGGGGGTTGGGGTGGGGAGGTGGGGGGACCTGATTGATGAGGGTGTGGATAAACAAACAAGAAGGAAGACATTTCATTGTTTAGAAACTAAAATTACAGCACAAACAGTGACGTAGACAGGATTAGGCTTGTTGGCCGATGTGTGTTGTGTACACATACACACACACTTATACGTTTGATTTCTTTTGTAAAATTTTAATTTTATTTAAACTTTTTTATATTCATTTAATTAAACTCAAATTGTAACAATTACTTTTTAACTTTAATTTTGTTACATTAACGCTCCGCAAATCACCATAGTTACAGAAACACAGATAATTGAATATAGGACTGGATTATTTTCAAATTTCAGAAAAGTAATTTTTTTTAAATAATTCAGAATCCAGTAACTTAATTTAGGTAGGTATTTAAACATTTCAAATAGGTGAAAAAACATAGGTGGGCCTATCTTAAAAACAGTGTTGGAATCTCTTGAATTCAAACATTACGTCTATTAAACAGGACAGAGTAGATACTAAAAAATAACAAAGTTTACATGAGCTACGTTGAAAGCGTATGTGTATTGTGTGTAAATACATATGACGCATTTCAGACGGTTTTTACCACATAAACCGCAACAAATTAATGAAATGAAGTAGAAAACTAGGAAGTATCTCAAAGGGAAGTAATTTTAGAAATTGAAATAAATGTATTATTTTATAATCTCCCTTTATTGATTGCTGTAAACTGTTAGATGTGTCCCGCTGCTACGAACTGTGTGCTCTCTCTATGGGCGGCAATGTTTACATGACGGTATACTAAACAACAAAAGGAAGATATATATATATATATATATATATATATATATATATATATATATATATATATATATATATATATGTATTTATATGTATATATATGTATATATATGTATATATATGTATATATATGTATTTATATATATATATGTATACATATATATATATATATATATATATATATATATATATTGTAAATCAATATATCTATATAATATATTTGAAAGTTTATATAAACATGTTTATATCAAGAGAGAAAAAGAAAATTGTTTTTTCGTTTTTCAATCATTGATTTGTCCATGTATGATTACATTGTATCACGCTATTTGTGTGTGCATGTTTGCATTGTTTTTTAGGTGTATGCTTATTTAAGTTCTTATGTGCTACAACGTTGCTTATATTGAAATTCATAGCACGCATATTACTTTTAAGTGTACGTTTTATTTACGTGCCTATGCGTCTTATTTTAAGAAAATGTGTGCTAAAACTACTATTTATGTATGCAAATATATACACACACAGTAACACACACACACACACACATTATAATTATGGTAGCCTGGACAAGGTATTGTTGAAAAATTCAGACCCAAGTATAATTTCAGTATTTACGTTCTGAAAACGTAAAACCGTTGATCTCGCTACAAGATTATTAGCAAACACTTGACACGCCTCGATGGGCACGAGATTTATTGACGTTCTCATTCTAATATTTCACGAGACAGAGACTATGATCTTTATTATGATCTTTAGTATGATCTTTGGTATGAACTTCAGTGTGATCTGTAGTTTGCTCGTTAGTATGAGCTTCAGTGAACCAGTGGCGTAGCGAGGTCGGGTGTCACCCGGTGCGGCACAATGGTGTCACCCCCCAGAGGTGTAGCGACCCTTCCCGGGGACAAACTTTCAAGTTTTCGACTTGCACCCCCCCCCCCTCAACCTTTCAATTTGCACCCCCCCCCTCAAACTTTCGATTTGCACCCCCATCAAGTTTTTCTTTATATATTTTACTATATTTTGCCTTGGTGTCACCCCCTAAATGGTGTCACCCGGTGCGGTCCGCACCCCCGCCCCCCCCCGCCCCCCCCCCCTCGCTACGCCCCTGCTACCATGTAGCCTGGCCAGGCAAAGAAGGGAAGGGGGTGAGGCAGACCGTTTACGGGGCCCAAAATTCGACGAAAAAAAAATTATTCCAAAATATTTTTTGTGTACCATTATAGTAGCCTTGTAAAAAACAAATATATATACTACAGCAGCCCTTGTTCTATAGTAACTAACACACACTGTTGTGTGAAAAATAAAATTATAAATCTACATCAGCTGTTGTGTGAAAAATAGGCGAACGTTCAAAAACCACATCGTGAATTATTACTCATCTTTAAATAGTCTTATAAGGATGTCCATACATCTCCTTTAAATATTTTAGTATTAAGCAAAATAAAAGACTATTGTTTCACTTAATTATTAGTTAGATAAAACATACTAAGGAATGACACATATATTAAAAGTCGTTAATTCAAAACTAATAATATAAATATAACAACAAGAACAAAAGAATAAAAGAAAAAGCGTGAAATCATTAATACCAAGTTTCCGTCTTTTATTTGACTGGTTTGCCAGATTTTATAGAGGTTTCACTTTTGATAAGTTTTGGCGCCTTGGCGAACATGAAATGAGATGCATACATACATTTGTATAACTTGATTATTTTAAACATATATATATATATATATATATATATATATATATATATATATATATATATATATATATATATATATAAATAAATAAATAAATATATATATATATATATATATATATATATATATATATATATATATATATATATATATATATATATATATATATATATATATATATATATATATATATATATATATATATATATATATATATTAAAAAAATTTATTATTAAAAAATGTCAAGTCGTCTTAATATAATATCGAATATACGAAGAAAGTGTTTGACTTAAAGTTTAACGACCAACCCCCAAAGCTGAACCTACTGGCTTTCAACTGGAAATATTTCTGACATCAGATCACGTGACGCCCTAGATCAGTCTAGCAGACGACCGCTTGGCTCTCCCCCTGAGCCCTGTGCGACCTTCAGGCACGAGACCGAGTATCCTGATGGGCACGCCACTTCCGTCCTGCAGCTTGACCGGTGCGGCCACGACCGTGGCGCCACTAGCGGGCAGTCTGCCCAGGTTGTTGACGTTCTCCAGGCCCAGGATCCTGGCGGCGGTGAAAGCCTGGTGGACTTCAAAGACTCTGGACTGGCCGAAGTCTATGGAGGGAGTGTCCACACCCAGCATGTAGATGGTGCGGGACTTGATCAGCCAGTTGACGGCATCCAGGTGAAAACCTGAGGTCATGCAACAGGTGAGCTGAACTGGGGCAGGTGAGGTGAACTGGGGCAGGTGTGGTGAACTGGGTCAGGTGAGGTGAACTAGGTCAGGTGAGGTTCACTAGGTCAGGTGAGCTGAACTGGGGCAGGTGAGGTGAACTGGGGCAGGTGAGGTGAACTGGGGCAGGTTAGGTTCACTAGGTCAGGTGAGGTTCACTAGTCAGGTGAGGTGAACTATGGCAGGTGAGGTGAACTGGGTCAGGTGAGATGAACTGGGGCAGGTGAGGTGAACTGGGGCAGGTGAGGTTTACTAGGTCATTTGAGGTGAACTGGGGCAGGTGAGGTTCACTAGGTCAGGTGAGGTGAACTGGGGCAGGTGAGGTTCACTAGTCAGGTGAGGTGAATTGGGTCAGGTGAGATGAACTGGGGCAGGTGAGGTGAACTGGGGCAGGTGAGGTGAACTAGGGCAGGTGAGGTGAACTAGGGCAGGTGAGGTGAACTGGGGCAGGTGAGGTGAACTGGGGCAGGTGAGGTGAACTAGGTCAGGTGAGGTGAACTGGGGCAGGTGAGGTTCACTAGGTCAGGTGAGGTGAACTGGGTCAGGTGAGGTGAACTGGGGCAGGTGAGGTGAACTGGGGCAGGTGAGGTGAACTGGGGCAGGTGAGGTGAACTGGGGCAGGTGAGGTGAACTGGGGCAGGTGAGGTGAACTGGGGCAGGTGAGGTGAACTGGGGCAGGTGAGGTGAACTAGGTCAGGTGAGGTGAACTGGGGCAGGTGAGGTTCACTAGGTCAGGTGAGGTGAACTGGGGCAGGTGAGGTGAACTGGGGCAGGTGAGGTGAACTAGGTCAGGTGAGGTGAACTGGGGCAGGTGAGGTTCACTAGGTCAGGTGAGGTGAACTGGAGCAGGTGAGGTGAATTAGGTCAGGTGAGATGAACTGGGGCAGGTGAGGTGAACTGGGGCAGGTGAGGTGAACTGGGGCAGGTGAGGTGAACTAGGTCAGGTGAGGTGAACTGGGGCAGGTGAGGTTCACTAGGTCAGGTGAGGTGAACTGGAGCAGGTGAGGTGAACTGGGGCAGGTGAGGTGAACTAGGTCAGGTGAGGTGAACTGGGGCAGGTGAGGTGAACTAGGGCAGGTGAGGTGAACTGGGGCAGGTGTGGTTAACTAGGGCAGGTGAGGTTCACTAGGTCAGGTGAGGTGAACTAGGGCAGGTGAGGTGAACTGGGGCAGGTGAGGTGAACTAGGTCAGGTGAGGTGAACGGGGGCAGGTGAGGTTCACTAGGTCAGGTGAGGTTCACTGGAGCAGGTGAGGTGAACTGGGGCAGGTGAGGTGAACTAGGGCAGGTGAGGTTTACTAGGTCAGGTGAGGTGAACTAGGGCAGGTGAGGTGAACTGGGGCAGGTGTGGTTAACTAGGGCAGGTGAGGTTCACTAGGTCAGGTGAGGTGAACTAGGGCAGGTGAGGTGAACTGGGGCAGGTGTGGTTAACTAGGTCAGGTGAGATGAACTGGGGCAGGTGAGCTGAACTGGGGCAGATAAAGTGAACTGGGGCAGGTGAGGTGAACTAGGGCAGATGACGTGAACTGGGTCAGGTGTGGTTAACTAGGTCAGGTAAGATGAACTGGGGCAGGTGAGGTTCACTAGTCAGGTGAGGTGAACTGGGTCAGGTGAGATGAACTGGGGCAGGTGAGGTGAACTGGGGCAGGTGAGGTGAACTGGGGCAGGTGAGGTTAACTGGGGCAGGTGAGGTGAACTGGGGCAGGTGAGGTGAACTGGGGCAGGTGAGGTTCACTAGTCAGGTGAGGTGAACTGGGGCAGGTGAGGTGAACTGGGGCAGGTGAGGTGAACTGGGGCAGGTGAGGTGAACTTGGGCAGGTGAGATGAACTGGGGCAGGTGAGCTGAACTGGGGCAGATAAAGTGAACTGGGGCAGGTGAGGTGAACTAGGGCAGGTGAGGTGAACTGGGTCAGGTGTGGTTAACTAGGTCAGGTGAGATGAACTGGGGCAGGTGAGATGAACTGGGGCAGGTGAGGTGAACTGGGGCAGGTGAGGTGAACTGGGGCAGGTGAGGTGAACTGGTGCAGGTGAGGTGAACTGGAGCAGGTGAGCTGAACTGGGGCAGGTAAAGTGAACTGGGGCAGGTGAGGTGAACTAGGGCAGGTGAGGTGAACTGGGTCAGGTGTGGTTAACTAGGTCAGGTTAGATGAACTGGGGCAGGTGAGATGAACTGGGTCAGGTGAGGTGAACTGGGGCAGGTGAGGTGAACTGGGGCAGGTGAGGTGAACTGGGGCAGGTGAGGTGAACTGGGTCAGGTGAGGTGAACTGGTGCAGGTGAGGTTCACTAGGTAAGGTGTGGTGAACTATAGGTGAAGTGTGGGTAACTAGGTGAAGTGTGGGTAACCAGGTCAAGTGTGGGTATTTAGGTCAAAGTTGTTAACTAGGTCAGGTGTACTTGTTAACTTACCAGGAAAATGATATGTGGAAATGTCGTTAGGGGTTGGGGTGTTGAAGACGGTCTGTGGGTCGGGGTACCTGACGTCCCAGCCTGACCACATAAAGACTGCGGCACCGTCAGGAATCCTGCCGTAACGGCGCTCGTACCTCTGTAGATCTGCGACTCTAAAAATAGACAGGACTTTTGTGAGGGAAATATTCCTTAAGACTGTTGTAAAAAACTAGGGTTGACTCTAAGGTTGGCACTTGGGTCGACACTAGGGTTGGCACTAGGGTTGGAACTAAGTTTGACACTACGGTCGACACTAGGGTTGGCACTAGGGTTGACACTAGGGTTGATACTAGGGTTGATACTAGGGTTGGCACTAGGGTTAACACTAGGGTTGGCACTAAGGTTGACACTAGGGTTGATACTAGGGTTGGCACTAGGGTTGGCACTAAGGTTGACACTAGGGTTGATACTAGGGTTGGCACTAGGGTTGGCACTTGGGTCGACACTAAGGTTAACACTAGGGTTGGCAATAGGGTCGACACTAGGGTTGATACTAGGGTTGACACTAGGGTTGGCACTAAGGTTGACACTAGGGTTGGCACTAGGGTTGGCACTAGGGTTGGCACTTGGGTCGACACTAGGGTTGGCACTAGGGTTGGCACTAGGGTTGACACTAGGGTTGGCACTTGGGTCAACATTAGGGTTGGCACTAAGGTTAACACTAGGGTTGGCAATAGGGTCGACACTAGGGTTGATACTAGGGTTGACACTAGGGTTGGCACTAAGGTTGGCACTAGGGTTGGCACTAGGGTTGGCACTAGGGTTGGCACTTGGGTCAACACAAGGGTTGGCACTAAGGTTAACACTAGGGTTGGCAATAGGGTCGATACTAGGGTTGATACTAGGGTTGGCACTAGGGTTGGCACTAGGGTTGGCACTTGGGTCAACACAAGGGTTGACACTAGGGGTAAGAATCACTCACGTGACCCTGTAGTCCGGGTTATTTTTAACTTGTTGCCGCACGTCAATGACGACACCAGGCCCGACCAGACGACTGACAGGAATCTCGTGGACCCTCCAGCCACCTTTATGGACGTGTGCAGGTGCGTCCAGGTGAGTACCCATGTGCTCCAAGGTGTCGAACTTGTTGTATTCGAACCTGAAGGACATTGAAGACATTCAGGACATGGAGGACATAGAGGACATTCCATACATTGGGGACATAAAAGATATGGAGGACCTTAAGCACATTAGGTCAATGGAGGACATTAAGGACATGGGAGACACTGAGGACACAGAGAACAGTTAGGACAAACCAATAGCCGTCTGGTCAACTCACCAATAGCCGTCTGGTCAACTCACCAATAGCCGTCTGGTCAACTCACCAATAGCCGTCTGGTCAACTCACCAATAGCCGTCTGGTCAACTGACCAATAGCCGTCTGGTCAACTCACCAACAGCCGTCTGGTCAACTGACCCATAACCGTCTGGTCAACTGACCAATAGCCGTCTGGTCAACTCACCAATAGCCGTCTGGTCAACTCACCAATAGCCGTCTGGTCAACTCACCAATAGCCGTCTGGTCAACTCACCAATAGCCGTCTGGTCAACTCACCAATAGCCGTCTGGTCAACTCACCAATAGCCGTCTGGTCAACTCACCAATAGCCGTCTGCCGTCTGCCCCCTCTCCAGGACCGTGAGGTTAAAGGGCAGGTTGAAGACGGGGAAGAAGATCGAGTCTGGCCCCAGGACGTGCGAGAGGTCAACGACCTCGTCACACGTGACACCCCTGACCACGGGCAGCCAGACCAGCAGCACTAGTGACGTCAGCGAGCTCGCCATCTTTGATCTGTTGTTTAGCGGTAACTATGGCAACCAAACAGCCTGCGTGGAAAACCAAGTCAACAGTCAATATTTTAATAACAAGAAAGCAGGACTGGATGACTTACGGTTCGGTTTTAATTTCTTCAGTCAAATCAAGTTACGGTCTAACATCAAGGTGAGCTAGGTTGAGTTTCAAAAAGTTATTTTTAGAAATGACAAGTTTAGACTTGTTTTTTGTTTTAACCTGCGGCGTTACATGACGGGGTGGGGTGGGGTGGGTGGGGTCCGCACCGGGTGACACCATTGAAGGGGTAACACCCAATCTAAAAATATCAAAACAATGTTTATCCATTTTGGAAAATTCAACAGTAAGTAACTAATGCTAAATTGTTGGACAGGGGAGGGGGGGGGATGAGACCAGCAGTTACCCCACCCAGATGAAACCTGACCCAGCGACGCCACTGACTGGACCAGCCGTTACCCCACCCATGTGAAACCTGATACAGTGACGCCACTGACTGGAACCGCCAACGATCGTGACACGTCGAAGAGAAAAAAAAACTTTGGAAAAAAAATTCAAATAGCTAGAATACATTTAAATTAAATTTTTCAATGTTAGACGACCCAGTTTTCAGACAGGAAACGGTTGAATGCACAAAGCAAACCTTATTCCAACTCTCCTACTTCACAATTTTATGGTCGTTTAATCCCAAATGAATCCCCGTTCTTAGAGCCCCTGGGACATCAATTTATGACGCCCATGCGAGAGGGGGTGGGTCATGGTGAACTTTTGTGGACGCTTGCATACAAAAAGGGGGGGGGGTTGGGTTGGCTTAACGGTAACTTTCACACATTAAATATAACATTCGCATACTCCTAGGGGTAAAATATCTATCTATTTATATATTTATCAACAAAACATCTCGTTACTTTTATGAATGCACAAACAGATACATTGTCTGAAATAAATCCGTTAAAACCCCAATCATTATTCGAATTTTTAAAAACGTATTTTATCTTTTTTACCGACCACTGTGTACTACCTGTATCGGAAGATTTAAAAATAAAATGATAAGACTGCATGGGTTTCGAACCAGTAACTTAATTAAAGTGTGTCCAACACGCCGTGGATTCTGCTGGCCGCAGGTCATTTCGTGAACATATTTCTCGATTGTACTAATAGTCTCCGTAAGAAAGTAAAATTACGCCAAGTATTATTTTCAATTACATTATATCTTATTTAACAAATTTCATTGCTAACAAACAAAGATTTATATAGAATATTTAATCTATTTTGAGGCCTGAAAGAGTTTAGTGAAGAAATTCAATAATCAATTGTGTTTTTATTCTTGTTTTGTTTTTTAACTAATTAATGTTTGTTTGGCCTACTGTTCTCCAACAACTTAAGGCTTAATTTAGTTAATCGGTAGACCTAGATAAATTAAATATAATGGAATAAGAAGAACTGACCAGCGTATCCTATTTAGAATTGATTATAGTATTGGAACCTTGTAATAATAACAAACGGACGTCTCTTACAGAAGACTGAAAGTTTAGCTTTATAACGCACTAGCCGTACCGGCAAGGCACTGCACTGGTATTTGAGGTAAACATTATTTGTAAAGGGCCGTGACTTATATGCTCATTAAGCATCATATACCCTGAGCTCTCCGATGTTTGGGCATTTATAAATTTGTCAATGAAAGGTCTATGTGTAAATATGGACGTTTGTAAAAATATAAACACAAAATGCAAACATAAACACAACGTATACGAAAACAAAAACGCAAACATATATGGAAACATAAACACAATCGTAAACGCAAACATAATCATAAACGCAAATTGAACATAAACATAAAATCAAACACAAACATTAACGCAAACTAAAACATAAACGCAAACTTAATTGGAAACACAAAGGCTAACATAAACGCAAACATTTACATAAAGGCAAACTTTACCGGAAAAATAGACATGAAAACAAGAGCAAACATAAACTTAAACATTCAGACAAACAGAAACATAAGCACAAACTCAAAAGTATACATAAACGCAACATAAACGCAAACGCAACTATAAACTAAAAAAATAACGAAAAAACAACTATTTAAAAAACTATTTTTAAAAATTATGTAAACTCAAACGTAAACGAAACATAGACACAAACATGACCCCCCCCCCCCTCTTTCTTCCCTTTTTGCCAACTGGTATGAATTTGCGTCACTTTGTGGGCATAATCCACCAAATGAAAAAAAGCAACGGTAAATTATTAGATCTTGTGTCACTCCGTCGTTTATTTTATCAATTAAAAATATTCAACTAAATTTTTTTTCCAACAGCAAAACAAAATAAAAGGAAGTAATTTGTTTTTCTGATGTAATTTTTTTAAAGTCATCTGTCAATGGAAGGAACTGATGGAAAATGATGTAAGTTGTATAACGTTTCAAACAAAAATATAATTTTTGTGAAGGGTAATATATTTAGCTTGATTCTATTCTATGCACTTCACGTCAATTTTAAACTGTTCAGTTGGAAAATGAAAATTAGTTTTGAAAATGATCAATATTGAGTTTTCTATACATCAATTTAGATTTGAGTACAGAAAATTTTAAACACTTTAAAAATATACACAAATGCGATCAAGTCGAGATTTATTTTTTCTTTATACATGTCATCTTTAAGTCCGTCTGTCACATACAGAGACACATACTAGGTTTGAACTTTATATATAAGAATTAAACTTACATGTTCTATCCTTGAAAGTTATGTTTGTTGTGAGAATAAGTAAATAAAGTATTTGTTCTCAACTTTTATAATTAAAGGTGTTTTTCTACACACGAATATAAAGTTTTAATTAATTTAAGTCTTTACATAAATTTGTATATAACATTTAGCGAGAGATTACCTGCCTATATTTTAGCACTAACTGTCGATGTCTGCTGTAACCACGAAGCAACCAATGTATCAATGACAACGTCGTGTGCAGCACTCGTTGACTGTCACACTTCTGAGCCAATCAAACGAACGCTTGTCTGACTCGAAGTTTTATACGAGGGTGCTCAAGGTGAAGGACAGAAAAAAAGCCGGCGCTGCCAGTGTAACTTTACACCCGTGGGGGGGGGGGGGGAGGCGTTGCTTTGATTGTTACATAACACCACTTAGGTAAGGGTGGGGGCACTTTAATGGTGACTTTACACCAGTAGGGGTGGGGGCACTTTATTGATGATATTTCACCAGTGGGGGTGGGGGCCCTTTACTGATATTTTTATACTGGTTTGGGAGGGGGGAGCTGTGATGGTGACATTTCATCAGTGGGGGAAGGGGGGTTGCGCTTTGATAATAGGTAAAAGAAAACTTTAATGATGAGCTTAGCTCTCAACTATTGACACATTATTATGACCAGATAAATATTGTGGCAGACACTTTGTAAAGCTTGGGTTGTTTTTTTTGCTGCCGTATGTACTTGTGACACCTGTACAAATGTGGACCAAGAGACATCCCTAGAAGTAGGATTCAGCCAAGTGTGTGTATTGGTGAGGGTGTATGTGTATGAACGTGTGTGTGTATTAGTGTGTGCTTATGTATTGGTGTGTGTATTAGTGTGTGTGTATTGGTGTGGGTGGGTGTGTATTGGTGTGTGTGTGTGTGAACGTGTGTGTATGAACGTGTGTGTGTGTGTGTGTTTGAACGTGTAACGCTCACTCAATGGGGATGCTTATTACCCACTGAGGTGTTGTGTTTAAAAGGGCTGACCCTGAGATAAAGCACACAATGAAACGACGCTGTTGTTGTCAACTACTGGCTTTTTTGACATTAACATCAAGCCATAAACGGCGATGCAGGACAGTAGAGAACAGCAGAACACAGAAAACAGTGTTGAATACAGCAAAAAACAGACTGTCGCCCTATGGGCAACGTCACCCTCCATGTCCACAGCAGCCTTGGGACTGACTGACACAGCCACAGACACGAACTACCCATAATCCCATATCACATGATATAGAACACAGGTAAAAATTGCTCACCGAAGAGCATGAAAAAATGACATCAACAGTTGCGGTCACACAGGGGCAGCAACCCAATAATTTACAACATTATTTATTCCCCCTGGCTGGTAACAATATGTGTTGGATGATGTCAAAAGAGCTTAAAATCGACAAGGTATTTTGTACACTGACCGGCCATTGCGCAAACTAGCAGGGATACCATGGCCAATATCCGATTGTAGGAAAAAAAAAGTCACAGGAAAAAAAAAACACAGGAAAAAAAAACACAGAAAAAAAGTCACAGGAAAAAAAGTCACAGGAAAAAAAGTCACGGGAAAAAAGTCACAAATATATATTTACATGTAATGTGTTAATACTTTTATGTATTAAATATTCAGAAAGTGCAAATTAACTTAGGATTAAATAAATGTAGCGTAATGTGTGTAGGTTGTATACGCATAGTAATTTTTATAATTCATCTAAAAATTATTAGTATGAATTGTGTGATTGTAATTATGTTAAACATAATATTAATAGCATTTAATTGACTGCTCCAAAATCCGCGGTTTTCATCGTGTTTTTTTTTTAAATACCAACGTCTGACTTAGTGTACTCAACTCATCGCAACAATAATCATGCTTAGTTCAACCACCTTTACTGCCCACATTTATCACGCTCATTACATAACAAAGCATGGGATCAAAACAGAAAGCCGACAAGTTTGAAAGGCTGTCATTGACACAAAACGTCAACAATACACAATATGTTCGGACAATGCCTACTGAGGAGAGGCCGACCATATAATAGCCTACGGCAAAACATGCAAAACACAAAAATGTGCCTAAATTTCTTTTATAATTAACTTCTCTATCGCGTATTTAACTAAATACGTAACAAAAGTTGAGATTGTTGTGTAAATTATGTTACAGTATTTTTACTTACAATTGTTATAAACCATAATGCTTTCAACGTCTATAAATAATTTATGCTATAAAAAATACAACCCACAACAATAAACATACAAAATTTTACAATTCTTACCATTTTTTATAAAAATATTTCAAAAAAGATTTTTGTGACTTTTTTTCTGTGACTTTATTTCTGTGACTTTTTTTCCGATAAAATTTTTCCACTGTGACTTTTTTTCTGTGACTTTTTTTGCTAGCAAAAACTGACTTTTTTTCTGTGGTTTTTTTTCCTGTGACTTTTTTCCGTTCACCCAATATCCAATGTAGGCTATGGTGTGATGGCACTTGAATCATTGTTGTCCATTCCAAATATCGCCAAATAAAGAAACATTTAACCGACTCCTGATCTACGCTGTAACTTATACGATTCACATATACAACAAGACGATATGGAATACATACAAGCATTCAAACATTGAACAGTTGAATGCCACATAAGACGATGTGAAACAATCACCTCAGAATAGTTTTTATTTTACATTCTACCTTAAAATCAAGTTGACAATCAATTCAAATCAAGCAAACGTTTCGACCTCAAGCCATCGTCAGGTTGAACCATGGGGGGCTTGTGGAGCCGTTACAACATCGATTAAACTTTGGTAGGTTCAGAGAAGCAATGGTGGTAAAATGGTGTCTGTCACAGTGGTGGTAAAATGGTGTCTGTCACAGTGGTGGTAAAATGGTGTCTGTCACGTGGAGGTAAAATGGTGTCTGTCACAGTGATGGTAAAATGGTGTCTGTCACAGTGGTGGTAAAATGTTGTCTGTCACAGTGGTGGTAAAATGGTGTCTGTCACAGTGATGGTAAAATGGTGTCTGTCACAGTGGTGGTAAAATGGTGTCTGTCACAATGGTGGTAAAATGGTGTCTGTCACAGTGATGGTAAAATGGTGTCTGTCACAGTGGTGGTAAAATGTTGTCTGTCACAGTAGTGGTAAAATGGTGTCTGTCACAGTGGTGGTAAAATGGTGTCTGTCACAGTGGTGGTAAAATGGTGTCTGTCACAGTAGTGGTAAAATGGTGTCTGTCACAATGGTGGTAAAATGTTGTCTGCGTCAGTTTAATCCGTCTGGAGATGTTATAAGTACCACATTTTGTCTCCCCCACTACCAGACCTGCCCCACCCACCCCACAACCTCATATCCCCCCATTACCCCCCCCCCCCCATCCCACACACACACAGACACACAGACTACCAGACCTGCCCCACCCACCCCACTACATCATATCCCCCATTCCTCCCCCCCCCACACACACACTACCAGATGTGCCCCACCCACCCCACAACATCATATTTCCACCCCCCCATTACCCCCACCCCCACACACACAGACACACACACTACCAGATGTGCCAGAATGGAAGCAGACGACTGCCAGTGTTGCCACTACCACACTGCATGGCCAGGATCCTGACTGGCCCGCCACTGCCGTCGGTCAGCTTGACCGGGGCCACCACGATGGTGGCGCCCCTGACCGGAAGTTGGCCGATCCTGTTGACGTTCTCTAGCCCCATGACGTTAGCGCGGCCAATCATCTGATGCACGTCAAACACGCGCGTCTGCCCGTAGTCGTTAGACGGTGTGTCGATGGCCAGCATGCCAAGGTCACGGTCATCTAGTAGCCAGCGGACCGCGTCAGGGTGGTAGCCTGCAGAGGAGAGGTAAAACAGGTAGCCTGTAGGGAGAGGTGAGGTGAAACAGGTAGCCTGCAGAGGTGAGGTGAGGTGAAACAGGTAGCCTGTAGGGAGAGGTGAGGTGAAACAGGTAGCCTTCAGGGAGGGGTGAGGTGAAACAGGTAGCCTGCAGAGGAGAGGTGAGGTAAAACAGGTAGCCTGCAAGGAGAGGTGAGGTGAAACAGGTAGCCTGTAGGGAGAGGTGAGGTGAAACAGGTAGCCTGCAGGGAGAGGTGAGGTGAAACAGGTAGCCTGTAGGGAGGGGTGAGGTGAAACAGGTACCTGTAGGGAGGGGTGAGGTGAAACAGGTAGCCTGTAGGGAGGGGTGAGGTGAAACAGGTAGCCTGTAGGGAGGGGTGAGGTGAAACAGGTAGCCTGTAGGGAGGGGTGAGGTGAAACAGTTAGCCTGCAGGGAGAGATGATGTAAAACAGGTAGCCTACAGGGAGAGATGATGTAAAACAGGTAGCCTGCAGGGAGAGGTGATGTGAAACAGGTAGCCTGTAGGGAGGGGTGAGGTGAAACAGGTAGCCTGTAGGGAGGGGTGAGGTGAAACAGGTAGCCTGTAGGGAGAGGTGAGGTAAAAAGGTAGCCTGCAAGGAGAGGTGAGGTAAAACAGGTAGCCTGCAGGGAGCGGTGAGGTAAAACAGGTAGCCTGCAGGGAGAGGTGAGGTGAAACAGGTAGCCTGTAGGGAGAGGTGAGGTAAAACAGGTAGCCTGCAGGGAGAGGTGAGTTGAAACAGGTAGCCTGCAGGGAGAGGTGAGTTGAAACAGGTAGCCTGCAGGGAGGGGTGAGGTGAAACAGGTAGCCTGCAGGGAGGGGTGAGGTGAAACAGGTAGCCTGCAGGGAGAGGTGAAACAGGTAGCCTGTAGGGAGGGGTGAGGTGAAACAGGTAGCCTGTAGGGAGAGGTGAGGTGAAACAGGTAGCCTGCAGGGAGGGGTGAGGTGAAACAGGTAGCCTGTAGGGAGAGGTGAGGTGAAACAGGTAGCCTGTAGGGAGAGGTGAGGTGAAACAGGTAGCTTGCAGAGAAGAGGTGAGGTGAAACAGGTAGCCTGTAGGGAGGGGTGAGGTGAAACAGGTAGCCTGTAGGGAGAGGTGAGGTGAAATAGGTAGCTTATTAATTAAAATGACGTCATTTCATTACGTCAGACCACAACTTGATTAAAATGACGTCATTTCATTACTCCAGACCACAAATTAATTAAAATGACGTCATTTCATTACTCCAGACCACAACTTGATTAAAATGACGTCATTTCATTACGACAGACCACAACTTCGACTGACCTGGAAAATGGAAGGTGGAGCTGTTCTGTGGGGTGGGGGTGTTGAAGGTGGCGAAGGGGTCGGGGTAGCGGGTGTCCCAGCCCGTCCACATGAAGACGATGGCACGGTCCGGGATACGCCCATGTAGCTCCTCCCAGCGGGTCAAATCTGCAACACTGTCCAACATGAGTTAACCGTTAACTTTTGAGTTAAATAATGGGTTAACATTTCACTTTGTAGTTAAACATTGAGATAACAGTTAAATTTTGATTTAAACATTATGTTAACAGAATTTCAGAGGTACATATTGGATCAACGGTTAACTTTTGAGGTAAACTTTGGGTTAACAGTTAACTTAAGAGATAAGCATTGGGGTAACAGTTAACTTTAGAGTTTGACCTATATCAAGCAATCCGGGTGAGCAGGTCTGAGTGAACTAACGGATGAAGGTCAAGGTCTTACGTGAGCCTGTAGTCAGGGTTGTTGGCCACCTGGGGTCGGGCGTCCACCACGATGCCCGGCCCCACCAGACGAGCCGGGGGGATCTGGTCCACACGCCAGTGACCCTCACTAAAGTGGGACGGTGCGTCTAGGTGGGTGCCCACATGCTCGGGTGTTGTGAACTTGTTTAACTCCAGCCTGTGGAGGGTTAACACATTGGTTTAACTCCAGCCTGTGGAGGGTTAACACATTGGTTTAACTCCAGCCTGTGGAGGGTTAACACATTGGTTTAACTCCAGCCTGTGGAGGGTTAACACATTGGTTTAACTCCAGCCTGTGGAGGGTTAACACATTGGTTTCAAAATTTTTGAACGACTCACCAAAAAAAAAAATTAGAACGACTCACAAAAAAAATTAGAACGACTCACAAAAACAAAAAAAAAATTAGAACGAGTCACAAAAAAAAATTAGAACGACTCACCAAAGAAAACAATTAGAACGACTAACAAAAAAAAATTAGAACGACTCACAAAAAAAAATTAGAACGACTCATCAAAGAAAATAGAACGACTCAACAAACAAAAATTAGAACGACTCACTAAAAAAAATTAGAACGACTCACCAAAAAAAAAAGTTAGAACGACTCACCCAAAAATAAATAAATTAGAACGACTAACAAAAAAAATTAGAACGACTCACAAAAAAAAATTAGAACGACTCACCAAAAAAAATAGAACGACTCAACAAACAAAAATTAGAACGACTCACTAAAAAAAATTAGAACGACTCACCAAAAAAAAAAAGTTAGAACGACTCACCCAAAAATAAATAAATTAGAACGACTAACAAAAAAAAATTAGAACGACTCACAAAAAAAAATTAGAACGACTCACCAAAAAAAATAGAACGACTCAACAAACAAAAATTAGAACGACTCACTAAAAAAAATTAGAACGACTCACCAAAAAAAAAAGTTAGAACGACTCACCCAAAAATAAATAAATTAGAACGACTCACAAAAAAAAAAATTAGAACGAATCACCCAAAAAAAATTAGAACGACTCACCAAAAAAAATTAGAACGACTCACCCAAAAAAAAATTAGAACGACTCACCAGAAAAAAAAGTTAGAACGACTCACCCAAAAATAAATAAATTAGAACGACTCACCAAAAAAAAAAAATAAGAACGACTCACCCAAAAAAAAATTAGAACGACTCACCGAAACAAAAATTAGAACGACTCACCAAAAAAATTAGAACGACTCACCTAAAGAAAAAATTGAAAGACTCAACAAAAGAAATTTAGAACGACTCGCCAAAAAAAAAAAAAAACTAGAACGACTCACCAAAAAAAAAAATTAGAACGACTCACAAAAAAAAAAATTAGAACGACTCACCAAAAAAAAAAAATTAGAACGACTCACCCCAAAAAAACTTAAAACGACTCACCTAAAAAAATTAGAACGACTCACAAAAAAAATTAGAACGACTTACCAAAAGCCCTCGGGTGTCTGCCCGCGGGTGAGGATTGTGAAGTTGAAAGCAGCGTCATCCCCTGGCCACAAGAGGGCGTGGCTGTCAAGTGGGTGTGACATGTCGATGACGGAGTCAGGACGACATGACGCTAGAGTGCCGGACACAAACAGAGTCAGTGCCAGACACACCGACGCCATCTTGGGTCCCGCTGACACCATTATTGCAGAAATCTGAAGTTCAAATAGCATTAGTTACCTGAGGTGGAGCAGTTACCTCAAGTTATGTAATAGCAAGTATTTACCTGAAATGTTATAATAGCAAGTAATTACCTGAAATGTTATAATAGCAAGTAATTACCCGAAGTGATGTAATAGCAAGTAATTACCCGAAGTGTTGTAATAGCAATTAATTACCTGAAGTGTTATAATAGCAAGTAATTACCTGAAGTGTTGTAATACCAATTAATTACCTGAAGTGTTATAATAGCAAGTAATTACCCGAAGTGTTGTAATAGCAAGTAATTACCTGAAGTGTTATAATAGCAAGTTATTACCTGAAGTGTTATAATAGCAAGTAGGCCTAATTACCTGAAGTGTTGTAATAGCAAGTAATTACCTGCAGTGTTATAATAGAAAGTAATTACCTGAAGAAACTCAATTATTAATTGTCTTTTTTTTTTATTCTTGTTTAGTTTTTAACTAATTAATGTTTGTTTGGCCCACTGTTCTCCAACAACTTAAGGCTTAATTTAGTTAATCGGTAGACCTAGATAAATTAAATATAATGGAATAAGAAGAGCTGCCCAGCGTATCCTATTTAGAATTGATTATAGTACTGGAACCTTGTAATAATAACAAACGGACTTCTCTTACAGGAGACTGAAAGTTTAGCTTTATAACGCACTAGCCGTACTGGCAAGGCACTGCACTGGCATTTGAGGTAAACATTATTTGTAAAGGGCCGTGACTTAAATGCTCATTAAGCATCATATACCCTGAGCTCTCCGTTTTTTTGGAAATTTTAAAATTAGTCAATGAAAGGTCTATGTGTAAATATGGACATTTGTAAAAATATAAACACAAAATGCAAACATAAACGCAAACATAAATGGAAACATAAACACAAACGAAACGCAAATATAATCATAAACGCAAACATAAGGCAAAAATAAACGCAAACATAAACATAAAATCAAACACAAACATTGATGCAAACTCAAACATAACTGCTAACTTAACTGAAAACATAAAGGCGAACATAAACACAAACATTTACGTAAACGCAAACTTAAACCGAAACATAGAGATGAAAATAAAAGCAAACATAAACCTAAACCTAAACATTCAGGCAAACACAAACATAAGCACAAACTCAAAAGCAATATAAATGCAATGGCAACTATAAAAGAAAAAAAAATAACGAAAAAACTATTTGAAAAAATAAATAATGCAAACACAAACGTAAACGAAACATAAACACAAACATTAACTCATACTCAAACCAAAACATAGACGTAAACGTGAAAGCAAACAACACAAACAGAGACATATAATCGGTTTGAACTTTATATATAAGAATTAAACTTACAATGTGTAACATGGTCTATCCTTGAAAGTTATATTTCTTGTGGAAATAAGTATATAAAGTCTTTGTTCTCAACTTTTATAATTAAAGGTGTTTAGCTATAATGTTTTAATTAATTAAAGTCTTTACATAAATTTGTATATAATTTTTTTGAAAAGTGGCTTTAGGCTTCACGGCTCAATTAGAATTACTTAATTTTTTGTATAAACCTTACCTGTCTATGTAGCTCGAACTTACCTGCCTATATTTTTTAGCAATACCTGTAGTATTACCACGAAGCACCCAATGTATCAATGACAACGTCGTGTGCAGCACTCGTTGACTTTCACACTTCTGATCCAATCAGACGAACGCTTGGCTGACTCAAATGTTTAGAAAAGATTGCTCAAGGTGAAGGACTGAAAAAAAGCCGGCGCTGCCAGTTTTTTTTCCCGGTAACTTTAAGGTGCTTTGATTGTAACATAACACCAGTTGGGTAGGTGTGGGGGCGCTTTTTTTTTTTTGCTGCCGTATGTACTTGTGACACCTGTACAAATGTGGGCCAAGAGACATCCCTAGAAGTAGGACTCAGGCAAGTGTGTGTATGTGTGTATTGGTGTGGGTGTGGGTGGGTGTAGTGGTGTGGGTGTGTGTATTGGTGTGTGTGTGTTTGAACGTGTGTGTATGTATTGGTGTGTAATGACATGTAACACTATCCCAACTAGTTTGTGCATTAGCTCGTGCGCTTGGGTTATGTCAAAAGAGCTTTTAAAATCGACAAGGTATTTTGTACACTGACCGGCCATTGCGCGAACTAGCTGGGATACCCTGGCCAATGTCCAATGTAGGCTATGGTGTGATGGCACTTGAATCATTGTTGTCCATTCCAAATATCGCCAAATAAAGAAACATTTAACCGACTACTGACCTACGCTGTAACATATACGATGCACATATACAACAAGACGATATGGAATACATACAAGCATTCAAACATTGAACAGTTGAATGCCACATAAGACGATGTGAAACAATCAACTCATGTCAACGTAGAATAGTTTTTATTTTACATTCTACCTTTAACCAGTAGTTATACAAACATGTGATGTTTAGCCGTCAGTCCAACAACCCAATAAAACATGGATCAGATTTGTAGGGAACAAATATCACAAGTTATCTACACGGTAACAGCAGAATAACTGTCTGTCACAGTGATGGTAAAATTATGGTGTCTGTCACAATGGTGGTAAAATGGTGTCTGTCAATGGTGGTAAAATGGTGTCTGTCAATGGTGGTAAAATGGTGTCTGTCAATGGTGGTAAAATGGTGTCTGTCACAGTGGTGGTAAAATGGTGTCTGTCACAGTTGTGGTACAATGGTGTCGTTATAATGGTGGTAAAATGGTGTCTGTTACAATGGTGGTAAAATGGTGTCTGCGTCAGTTTAATCCGTCTGGAGATGCTTTTAGTACCACATTTTGTCTCCCCCACTAACTCTTATTCTTCCCCCCCCACCCCCCCCCCCACACACAGAATTACACACACACACACACTACCAGATGTGCCTAACCCACCCCACAACCTCATATTCCCCCCCCCCCATTACCCCTCCCCCCCGACACACACACACTACCATTTTTGCCCCACCCACCCCACAACCTCATATTCCCCCCCCCCATTACCCCCACCCCCACACTCACAGACACTACCAGATGTGCCAGAATGGAAGCAGACGACTGCCAGTGTTGCCACTACCACACTGCATGGCCAGGATCCTGACTGGCCCGCCACTGCCGTCGGTCAGCTTGACCGGGGCCACCACGATGGTGGCGCCCCTGACCGGAAGTTGGCCGATCCTGTTGACGTTCTCTAGCCCCATGACGTTAGCGCGGCCAATCATCTGGTGCACGTCAAACACGCGCGTCTGGCCGTAGTCGTTGGACGGTGTGTCTATGGCCAGCATGCCAAGGTCACGGTCATCTAGTAGCCAGCGGACCGCGTCAGGGTGGTAGCCTGCAGAGGAGAGGTAAAACAGGTAGCCTGCAGGGAGAGGTGAGGTGAAACAGGTAGCCTGCAGAGGAGAGGTAAAACAGGTAGCCTGCAGGGAGAGGTGAGGTGAAACAGGTAGCCTGTAGGGAAGGGTGAGGTGAAACAGGTAGCCTGCAGAGGAGAGGTAAAACAGGTAGCATGCAGGGAGGGGTGAGGTGAAACAGGTAGCCTGCAGGGAGGGGTGAGGTGAAACAGGTAGCCTGCAGGGAGAGGTGAGGTGAAACAGGTAGCCTGTAGGGAGGGGTGAGGTGAAACAGGTAGCCTGCAGGGAGAGGTGAGGTAAAACGGGTAGCTAATAAATTAAAATGACGTCATTTCATTACTCCAGACCACAACTTGATTAAAATGACGTCATTTCATTATTTCAGACCACAACTTAATTAAAATGACGTCATTTCATTACGTCAGAACACAACTTCGACTGACCTGGAAAATGGAAGGTGGAGCTGTTCTGTGGGGTGGGGGTGTTGAAGGTGGCGAAGGGGTCGGGGTAGCGGGTGTCCCAGCCCGTCCACATGAAGACGATGGCACGGTCCGGGATACGCCCATGTAGCTCCTCCCAGCGGGTCAAATCTTCAACACTGTCAATTATAAGTTAACCGTTAACTTTTGAGTTAAATAATGGGTTAACATTTCACTTTGTAGTTAAACACTTTTGAGTTAAATAATGGGTTAACATTTCACTTTGTAGTTAAACATTGAGATAACAGTTACATTTTGATTTAAACATTATGTTAACAGAATTTCAGAGTTACATATTGGATCAACGGTTAACTTTTGAGGTAAACTTTGGGTTAACAGTTAACTTTAGAGATAAGCATTAGGTTAACAGTTAACTTTAGAGTTTGACCTATATCAAGCAACCCGGGTGAGTGAACTAACGGATGAAGGTCAAGGTCTTACGTGAGCCTGTAGTCAGGGTTGTTGGCCACCTGGGGTCGGGCGTCCACCACGATGCCCGGCCCCACCAGACGAGCCGGGGGGATCTGGTCCACACGCCAGTGACCCTCACTAAAGTGGGACGGTGCGTCTAGGTGGGTGCCCACATGCTCGGGTGTTGTGAACTTGTTTAACTCCAGCCTGTGGAGGGTTAACACATTGGTTTAACTCCAGTCTGTAGAGGGTTAACACATTGGTTTAACTCCAGCCTGTGGAGGGTTAACACATTAGTTTAACTCCAGCCTGTGGAGGGTTAACACATTGGTTTAACTCCAGCCTGTGGAGGGTTAACACATTAGTTTAACTCCAGCCTGTGGAGGGTTAACACATTGGTTTAACTCAAACATGTAGAGGGTTAACACATTAGTTTAACTCCAGTCTGTATAGAGTTAACACATTGGTTTAACTCAAACCTGTGGAGGGTTAACACATTGGTTTAACTCAAACATGTAGAGGGTTAACACATTAGTTTAACTCCAGTCTGTATAGGGTTAACACATTGGTTTAACTCAAACCTGTGGAGGGTTAACACATTGGTTTAACTCCAGCCTGTGGAGGGTTAACACATTGGTTTAACTCAAACATGTAGAGTGATAACACATTGGTTTAACTCAAACCTGTGGAGGGTTAACACATTGGTTTAACTCCAGTCTGTATAGGGTTAACACATTGGTTTAACTCAAACCTGTGGAGGGTTAACACATTGGTTTAACTCCAGCCTGTGGAGGGTTAACACATTAGTTTAACTCCAGTCTGTATAGGGTTAACACATTGGTTTTACTCCAGCCTGTGGGGGGTTAACACATTGGTTTAACTCAAACCTGTAGAGGGTTAACACATTAGTTTAACTCCAGTCTGTAGAGAGTAAACACATTGGTTTAACTCAAACATGTAGAGGGTTAACACATTGGTTTAAAATTAGAACGACTCAACAACAAATTTTGAACGACTCACCAAAAAATTAGAACAACTCACCAAACAAAATAGAACGACTCGCCAAAAAATTAGAACGACTCGCCAAAAAATTAGAACAACTCACCAAAAAAAATAGAACGACTCGCCAAAAAATTAGAACAACTCACCAAAAAAAATAGAACGACTCGCCAAAAAATTAGAACGACTCAACAAAAAATTTTGAACGACTCACCAAAAAAAAATTAGACCGAGTCACACAAAAAAAAGAACGACTCGCCAAAAATAAACCGGGAGCGATCTCCCCTAAACTTTCTGAATATTCTTATATTTAAAAACAAAAAGGGGATGGCAACTCAGGATATAGACATGACTTTTAATCCATTTTAAATATTTAAACTTTAAAAAATAGAATAGAATCTCGTAGACAAAAGAATTGCGCACAAGTGAACGCCAAATAAAATGTGCATAATAGTGCGAAATATATTAGTACTTTATAAATTTATATTCGTTTTTTGAGAAATCGGAAATAGCGTAAATTAGTACTTCCGGTCAACGGAAATTACTGAAAATTTAACAGAAGGTAGAGAATTAGATCTTTTACTTACATGTGAAATGTCATTTATCTATCTAAAATAGTACTCAAGTTATAGTCTTTTGGAAAATTCAAAGTAAACAAAGTACCACTTCCGGTTATCGGAAATCGCTCAAAAGTTGATACGGATCTACGATTTTGATAAAATACTTATATATGAAATTTCATCAACTTAGCTGTAACGGTACTCAAATTATCGTGTTTACAGACACACACAGACACACACAGACATACACACAGACATACGGACAAGATTGCAAAATTATGTTTTTCCGTATCAGTGAGGTGTAAAACGTCGAGATTTGCAAAAATCTCAATTTTTTTTTGCACGATTAAAAGACTTTCTCTATACTTCGTATACAAAAAAAAAAAATTAGAACGACTTCCCAAAAAAAAAATTAGAACGACTTCCCAAAAAAAAAATAATTAGAACGACTCACCAAAAAAAAATTAGAACGACTTACCAAAAGCCCTGGGGCGTCCGCCCGCGGGTGAGGATTGTGAAGTTGAAAGCAGCGTCACCCCCTGGCCACAAGAGGGCGTGGCTGTCAAGTGGGTGTGACATGTCGATGACGGAGTCAGGACGGCATGACGCCAGAGTGCCCGACACAAATAGAGTCAGTGCCAGACACACCGACGCCATCTTGGGTCCCGCTGACACCATTATTGCAGAAATCTGATGTTCAAATAGCAGTTACCTAGGTGGAGCAGTTACCTGAAGTGATGTAATAGCAAGTAATTACCCGAAGTGTTGTAATAGCAATTAATTACCTGAAGTGTTATAATACCAATTAATTACCTGAAATGTTATAATAGCAAGTAATTACCTGAAGTGTGAAAATAGCAAGTAATTACCTGAAGTGTTATAATAGCAAGTAATTACCTGAAGTGTTATAATAGAAAGTAATTACCTGAGGTGTTATAATAGCAAGTAATTACCTGAAGTGTGAAAATAGCAAGTAATTATCTGAAGTGTGAAAATAGCAAGTAATTACCTGAAGTGTTATAATAGCAAATAATTACCTGAAGTGTTATAATGGCAAGTAATTACCTGAAGTGTTATCACATCAATATCACCTGCTCGGATCAAGTAAACTTATTGATGTGATCAAAGAAGGCTTATCGATGTGATCAAAGAAGGCTTATCGATGTGATCAAAGAAGGCTTATCGATGTGATCAAAGAAGGCTTATCGATGTGATCAAAGAAGGCTTATCGATGTGACCTAGGAAAACTTATCGATGTGACCCCAGCATGTAATCCAGGTGTAGTCGAGAGCTCTCTGTGGCTTGGTCTGATGTGGTCAGTGTGAGCTGGGAGGGTGGAGTCAGGAGTTGTCTGCCTCCCTGGGACATTGGTCTCTACTCACAACAATGGGCTGTTAGGGGCTATTGTGGACTAGTGTGGGCTATTGTGGGCTATTATGGACTAGTGTGAGCTGTACATAAAACAACAGGTGTGGACAGAGGACGATGGATCTTAAAACAATAAGGAAGTAGGCTATTGATTGGTCGACAGTCAGACAACACGTTCTTGATCCTCGAACCTTTTCACACAGTCACGATCTCAAGAAGTCTTCAAAGCATACACAGCACATTAGAAGGATATATATCACAGCTACTCGCATCACACTACACACGACACACATCTCATTACACAGAACACACACATCACAAGAAACACATCAAACTACACACATCACACATCACACATCACACATCACACTACGCACATCACACTACACACTACACACATCACTACACACCACACACCACACTACACACTACACACTACACATTACACACATCACACATCACACTACACACATCACACTACACACTACACTACACACATCACACTACACACCTCACTACACACATCACACTACACACACCGCTTTTCATACATCACACTACACACTAAGCACATCACACTACACACACCACACTACACACACCACACTACATACATCACACTACACACTACACACATCACACTACACACATCACACTACACACATCACACTACACACATCATAAGACACACATCACACTACATACATGAAACATCACACTACACACATCACAGGAAAAAAAAACAATGGGTATATGCATGAATTTGTTAATATGTGTATGTTTTCAGATAGTGCAAGTCAGAATACGATTAATTAAATGTAATGTAAACATTTTAGGTTTAAGTGCATAGGTTTTTTTTATTTGTATGGGAATGTGTATAACACACGTAAAAATATATAGTCTGAAGTATGTAGGCTTTAATTCCATTCCATTATAAAATAGAATTAAGTAGAATATTCAAACCTTCTCGGTTTTGCTCATCGGTATTTTAGAATACAAACCTTGCTGCAAAAGGATAATAAGACGCAGTTAAGATGATTAGTTGTCCTCAACTAGTCGCAAAAATAGTTCAGCCACCTTTAGCCTCCACATCACATCCCCACATCACATCCCCACATCTCATCCCCACATCACATCCCCACATCACATCCCCACATCACATCACTCCCACATCACATCCCCACATCACATCCCCACATCACATCCCCACATCACATCCCACATCACATCCCACATCAATCACATCCCACATCACATCCCCACATCACATCCCCACTTCACATCCCCACATCACATCCCCACATCACATCCCCACATCACATCCCCACATCACATCCCCACATCACATCCCCACATCACATCCCCACATCACATCCCCACATCACATCCCCACATCACATCCCCACATCACATCCCCACATCACATCCCCACATCACATCCCCACATCACATCCCCACATCACATCCCCACATCACATCCCCACATCACATCCCCACATCACATCCCCCATCACATCCCCACATCACATCCCCACATCACATCCCCACATCACATCCCCACATCACATCCCCACATCACATCCCCACATCACATCCCACATCACATCCCCACATCACATCCCCACATCACATCCCCACATCACATCCCCACAACCCCACATCACATCCCCACATCACACTCCACATCACATCACATCCCCACATCACATCACATCCCCACAACCCCACATCACATCCCCACATCACATCACCACATCACATCCCCACATCACATCACATCCCCACATCACATCACATCCCCACAACACATCCCCACATCACATCCCCACATCACATCCCCACATCACATCCCCACATCACATCCCCACATTACATCCCCACATCACACTCCACATCACATCACATCCCCACATCACATCACATCCCCACAACACATCCCCTCATCACATCCCCACATCACATCCCCACATCACATCCCCACATCACATCCCCACATCACATCACATCCCACATCACATCCCCACATCACATCCCCACAGCACATCTCCACATCACATACCCACATCACATCCCCACATCACATCACATCCCCACATCACATCCCCACATCACATCCCCACATCACATCCCCACACCACATCCCCACATCACATCCCCACATCACATCACATACCCACATCACATCCCCACACCACATCCCCACATCACATCCCCACATCACATCACATCCCCACATCACATCACATCCCCACATCACATCCCCACATCACATCCCCACATCACATCCCCACATCACATCCCCACATCACAATCCCCATCTCACATCCCCACATCACATCCCCACATCACATCCCCACAACCCACATCACATCCCCACATCACACTCCACATCACATCCCCACATCACATCCCCATATCACATCCCCACATCACATCCCCACATCACATCCCCACATCACATCCCAATATCACATCCCCACATCACATCACCATATCACATCACCACATCACATCACATCCCCACATCACATCACATCCCCACATCACATCACATCCCCACAACACATCCCCTCATCACATCCCCACATCACATCCCCACATCACATCCCCACATCACATCCCCACATCACATCCACACATCACATCCCCACATCACATCCCCACATCACATCCCCACATCACATCCCCACATCACATCCCCACATCACATCCCCACATCACATCCCCACATCACATTACATCCCCACATCACATCCCCACATCACATCCCCATATCACATCCCCACATCACATCCGCACATCACATCCCCACATCACATCCCAATATCACATCCCCACATCACATCACCATATCACATCACCACATCACATCACATCCCCACATCACATCACATCCCCACATCACATCACATCCCCACAACACATCCCCTCATCACATCCCCACATCACATCCCCACATCACATCCCCACGTCACATCCCCACATCACATCCCAATATCACATCCCCACATCACATCACCATATCACATCACCACATCACATCACATCCCCACATCACATCACATCCCCACATCACATCACATCCCCACAACACATCCCCTCATCACATCCCCACATCACATCCCCACATCACATCCCCACATCACATCCCCACATCACATCCACACATCACATCCCCACATCACATCCCCACATCACATCCCCACATCACATCCCCACATCACATCCCCACATCACATCCCCACATCACATCCCCACATCACATCCCCACATCACATCCCCACATCACATCCCCACATCACATCCCCACACCACATCCCCACATCACATCCCCACATCACATCACATACCCACATCACATCCCCACACCACATCCCCACATCACATCCCCACATCACATCACATCCCCACATCACATCCCCACATCACATCCCCACATCACATCCCCACATCACATCCCCACATCACATCCCCACATCACAATCCCCATATCACATCCCCACATCACATCCCCACATCACATCCCCACAACCCCACATCACATCCCCACATCACACTCCACATCACATCCCCACATCACATCCCCATATCACATCCCCACATCACATCCCCACATCACATCCCCACATCACATCCCAATATCACATCCCCACATCACATCACATCCCCACATCACATCACCACATCACATCCCCACATCACATCACCACATCACATCCCCACAACACATCCCCTCATCACATCACCACATCACATCCCCACATCACATCACATCCCCACATCACATCACATCCCCACATCACATCACATCCCCCCATCACATCACATCCCCCCAACACATCCCCTCATCACATCCCCACATCACATCCCCACATCACATCCCCACATCACATCCCCACATCACATCCCCACTTCACATTCACCACACATCACATCCCCACATCACATCCCCACATCACATCCCCACATCACATCCCCACATCACATCCCCACATCACATCCCCACATCACATCCCCACATCACATCCTCACATCACATCCCCACATCACATCCCCACATCACATCCCCACATCACATCCCCACATCACATCCCCACATCACATCCCCACATCACATCCCCACATCACATCCCCACATCACATCCCCACATCACATCCCCACATCACATCCCCAAATCACATCCCCACATCACATCCCCACATCACATCCCCACATCACATCCCCACATCACATCCCCACATCACATCCCCACATCACATCCCCACATCACATCCCCACATCACATCCCCACATCACATCCCCACATCACATCCCCACATCACATCCCCACATCACATCCCCACATCACATCCCCACATCACATCCCCACATCACATCCCCACATCACATCCCCACATCACATCCCCACATCACATCCCCACATCACATCCCCACATCACATCCCCACATCACATCCCCACATCACATCCCCACATCACATCCCCACATCACATCCCAACGTGTAGGACCCAGCCACAACACAGACGCGTTCACATGCTGTCGCTAAACGTCATCAAACACAACGAAGAAAGGCCTGTGGCAAACACACACACACACACAAACATAATGAAGAAAGGTCTATGGTAAACACACACACACAAAATGAAGAAAGGTCTATAGTAAACACACACACACACAATGAAGAAAAGTCTATGGCAAACACACACACACAAACACACAGACACACACGAAACATGATGACGTTTTTGTAATAATTATTTTGTAATAATTAATTTTTATATCAGGTATTCAAATAAATATGTTACTTAGAGGCTGCGGTGTAAACTACCTTATTGTACTATAGATAGTTTTACTTATTATGAATACCAGAGTCGGATTATTATTAAAAACCATGATTTTAAATGTTACTAAAAATCACTCCCCATATTTATAAACAACTAAGGTTTTACAATTTTTTTTTATTTTTTTTTACAATGCTCAACAAGAAAATCAAAATAATTCTAGATACACATTTGTGACTTTTTA